CCACAGGACGGGGCCTGGGCGGGCCCAGGGGTCCCCAGCCACGGTCAGCAAGGATTGTGCTGTCAGCAGTTGGCAAGGGTGTGCCGGCGCGGACCAGTGTGCGGAGGGGAGGGTGGCCGGTGTTCCCGCGTGTGCCGCGTGTGCGCACGTGTCCTGGTGTGTCCGCGTGTCCAGGGTTCTCTGCATTCACCAGACACGGGCGCCGTGCGGCAGGGGCATCGTGCTCGTTCACTGCCGCGTCCTTAGGGGTCTAGAACTGTGCCAGGCAAGGAGTCTGTGCCCACTAAGTGTTCATGGGATGGATGAATGAATGAATGAATGAATGAACGAATGAGCAAACCTTAGCCCCAGGTGCTGAAGGCCCCAGGGAACTGCCACACATTGCCCTGATGCAGCATGACAACGGGGTCTCCGCCCCCTGCAGGGAAGGGGGTGGTGGCAGCCCAGCCAAGGGATGTGCTGGCTGCTGGAAGCCCCGGTGCCATTAGTGCCCCCACACCCTGCGCTCTGGGCCCGGGGCCTTGCTCGCCTGGAGGACGTCAGGGCAGAGGCTGGAGGCGGCTCTGCGGGGAGACAGGAGGGGGTCAGCAGCCGGAACAGGCCCCAAAAGTCCAGGCTGGAAGCCACGGGCGCTTCCTGCCCACAGCCTAGCCCGAGGGGAGGAGAGCTGGGGTTCGTCGCAGCTGGGGATGGACTGAGCGCTTAGGGGGTCCAGGGCCGCGGTGTGTGCGCGCACGCTCACCTGCACACACGCTGCGCTGACGTGCGGCAGGACTCGCCCACACAGCATGCCAGTTATTAAAATCGTGAAATGGTCCATACTGGCTGATGAAAGTCCCCCAGCCCGAGCCCTCAGAGCCCCTGCGCCACCTGCCAGTCTATACATGAGGGTCCCAAGCCAGCTCCACCCGGCTTCCATTCCCATGGTCGGCGTCCTTGCCAGCCACCCGGACAGGTGGTAGGCCCTGTCTGCAGACTGCCCAGGAAGCTGTGGGTGGGCAGTGCCAAGGGGCACCCTATGTCCCCCTGCCCAGGGGTGCCCACGTGCCTGTCCTCTGAACAGCAGGTCCCGGCCACGGGACCTCAGCAGAGAGCTGACAGCCCGCAGAAGACCTCGCAGCAGCTCAGCTGGGCCAGCAGCCCAGGGAGGAGGCCAGAAGGGATGGAGGCTCAGGACAGGCCACTTCAGGGATCAGAGAGATGGGTCTTTGCCCCCTTCCTGCCAGAACCCCACAGGCCTGGGGACAAGGGGGTGCTGACACTGGGCCCTCCCCAGGAGGTTGCAGCGAGGGGCCCAGCAGGCTCGGCACTTGCCGTGACCAGATTCCGCAAAAGTTAGGGCCCACAGTCTGACATCACGACACACCCTGGGGTTGTCCCAGAAAGTCTGGGACGGTGGGAAGGGTGCGGCCAGGAGGTTGGTCTTTGAAGTCAGATACGTGGGGTTCAAATGCTGGCTCCTGCACCTTCCATCTGCGAGGCCTCGGGCAGGATGGACACGCCAGAGGAAGCGGCCACCCCTCGACAGCTTCAGGCATTTTCTCAGCCTTCTCCAGGGCATTTTGCAAACACAGTTTTGAGCCCACCCCTAGCCTGTCTGGCTCAGAGTCGCACAGGAAGATGGAGGTGGAGTTAGATTCAAACCTGGGTCCCTGGCTCCATACCCCGAGAAGCTCTCTGGGACCCTCCCTGGGGGTGGAGGCTGGGAAGGGCAAGGCCGAGCTGAACTCTGGATACTCCCCTCTCCTGCCTCTCCCTCCAAGAAGGCGGCAGCCAAGGCCACAGAGGGACCTGCAAGCTGCTGGCCCCGTTCAGGGGGGAGGTCAGCAGGTGGCCTGCGACAGAGGTTGCGTCAGGTCTCTCTGGCCTCCGCCCTCTCGAGACTCCCAGCATCGCCCAGCCAACCTGGGCGCCCGGCCCGACCGCCCAGACCACAGTTCACACCCTGCTCTCTGCCAGCCGCCATCTGCGCTGCCCTTTGGGGGGCTCTTGGCTTCCCGGACCATTCCCAGCACCCACGTTCTTCCCACCACCCAGGCAAGGAGGGCTGAGCAGGAGAGACCTGCGTGGGGAGGAAAGGGGCCCTGTCCCCAGCCACAGGGAGCTAACGGGACCCAGGACAGACCAGGTAGAGGTTCCTGTCTGGAACCCCTAAGCCCCCACTGCCTACTTCTGGGGGGCGCCCTCACCGGCAGGGGTCACTGAAGGGCAGAAAGGCCCCGCCCATCTGGCAGCCCTGCCCCCCCCAACTCAGCACTGGGGCAGTCTGGGACAGACACAGCCACGGGGCTCAGGCTGGGAGCGTTGTGGGAGGCAAAGCCGAGGGAAGCAGCCGCACGCTCTGGTTTGGGGTTGCTGGGGGCCAGGCACCTCGCTGAGGGCTCTAGTAGCCCATGTCACAGATCGAGCCCACACCACCCTGTTGACATCCCAGAGCTCAGATGGGGAAAGTGAGGCTCCAAGGCCAGGAAGCTTGTCACGTGCCCCCCGAGGCACCAGAGCCCCCAGTGGAACTCTGTGATCGTCTGCACCATCCACGGCCACAGCCCTTGCTCAGGGCCCGAACCTGTCCTGGGCCCAGCAAAGTGGACTCTGCCGCATGGTGCCCAGGGACCGCTGACCTGAATCCCACCCGGCCCCCACCCACACGGCTCGGAGTCTGGGGAAGCCTCTGGTTCTCCTTATCTGACGAAGGTCCCCAGCCTGCAGTCAGGGATTAAGCTTTACGCCTCGACTCAGCTGGAGCCTCCTCACTCTGCCCTGCCCTGCCCTGCCCGCCACGCTGCCCCCCTGAGAGCTGCCCACAGGGCAGGAGCAGCTCTCGGGCTCCACTGCGGTGCAGAGTGGATAGCGAGGGGCAGGTCCCGTCACTCTCCTGTCAGCATGGCTGTGGTCAGGAGGCAGCACGGCGCAGGGGCTGGTGGCATCGGCTCTGCAACCAGGTGGCCAGGCTGTGACACTGGCTCCTCCTCTTAGCGATAGTGGAATGCGGGGGAAATCATTTAACCTCTTGTTCTCCACTGTCCCTATCTGTAAAGTGGGGATGCCGGTGACCAGGCACCCCACAGCAATGTCAGCCATGCTAGCACAGAGCACGTGCTACCTAAACTCCAACTACTATGTAAAGCTGTTGCCCAACCGCCTTTGGTGCATTCAGTGGGCCTTCCCAGGCCCTCCCTGGCAAACAGCACAGCGTCTGTGCCCGCTGCTGACAGCCAGCACACGGTCGAGCACACAGTGGGCTCATTTTTACTTTTTGGCCCAATGACTTCTCTCGTTTCCATCACGAAGGGATATCAAGATTGGTATGTTCGGGGGTGGCTTTGAATTCTAGATTCCAGCCAGCCACATTTTTTTTTCTAGTAGCTAAGTGTGTGTACAGTTTGGAAAATGAGAGCTATATAACTGACAAAGCTTTCCTTTCTTTGCTTTGGCCACCAGGAAGCTCATAGGCAAAAACTGCATGTTATTGAACATAACGATGACAGCTCAAGGATAGCAAGTGCTTTCGTTTTGCATTGCAACTAGATTGACTGACGGCGCTGAGCTGAGGGGTCTGAGGCTGCAGTGAGTGATGTTGGCTGTAAGCACGGCCAGGGTGCATCTGAGCTAAGAAAATGAAAACGGTGATCAGTTAGTGATATCTGCCGTGAGTGCGGCCACAGAAAGCATACTGTGCGCTCAGCTTACGTCTGGCATCAGGAGGTAGTAACCTTATGGGCAGCTCAGCTGTGTTTATTTCACCCAAGCCTACACTTCCTCATAAATTTACATCTTCCCCGTTATGTTTTATATCATATGCACTTCCTTTGTGAAACAAGGCAAGTCGTACATACAGAGAACCGAACCGGCTTCACTCAGAGGCCCCAGCCGTCCGGCACGATAAGCAGCCGCAGACAGCGTCTCTGGTTGCCGCAGGGAACAGCCCCCGCAGACCCTAAGCCCACATCAGCCCTGGGTGCCGGGCCTGCCACCTGCCACAGGGCTGAAAGTGGCCGTGTGTGTCCTGGATCTCGGCCACAGAAAGTCTCTTGCAAGGAACTAACTGGGTTCAGATCAAGAGCTGGACCATCCCTAAAGTGTTCCTCCTCCTCTCTGAGGTCAAGGCTCCCTGGCCTGGTTCCTCCCATCCCGTCTCGTCTGTGGCTGTACCCTACCAGGGCCTGAGCATCTTAAAGCAACGTGATTCAGGAATCAGTGCAGAGGGCTGCGAGAAATGCAGATTCCTTATCCTCATCCCAGATTTGCTGCATCAGAATCCTGGAGCCCTGGAATCTGCATTTTCCCAAGCGTCCCTGCTGGAGGGAGAGGCCCCCAGGCCTGGGGCTGGTGTTCGGGCTCTGCCGGGCTCCTAGGCTGGGGCAGCAGCGCCACCTGGTGGGTCCTGCAGAAACACCACCTGTCGAGGGCCCGGCAGCCCCCCTGGGGAGGCGAGAGTCCCCCACCCCACCCCACCCCCCTCCGCCGCCAGGGACCCGGAGAAGTGAGCGTAGAGGAGACGAGGGCAAGCGCCCTCTGGGCTTCATGACGCTGGGCGCAGCGTGTGTGGCGCTCGGCCGTGGGAACCGTGCTCAAGGAAGAGCTTCTCTTAAAGTCTCGTATTTCATCTTTAAGAGTCCCCTGAATTCTACAAGTGACTCTATCACATTTCTTTAGCATGGAAATGTTTCCTTTCACAAATCTTTGCAAAAACAGATGTTCTAGAAAAAGAGGCAAGAGGCAGAGTTATCCTGTGGCTTCACTGGGGGCAGCTTCTCCATCTCAGAAGCAGCAACTGAGACGTAAGATCTACACGTGTGTCAGCACAAAAAGCAAACCCCAGGGACCCCGGCAGCAGGCAGGCGGCGGGGCCTGTGTGTGCAGGCTGAAGAGGGAGCCGAGATCCCCAGGGGACCGCAGCGAGGGGCCCACACTCCCTCCAGCAGCCCCGGCCACTCCGCCCACACCTTCTCCGCCTGGCCCTCCCCTGCCCCAGGCAGCGGCACCCCCCCATTTCGGGCTGGGTCGTTACAAATCCTCTTTAATAGTCAGTCTTAGAATCCTGAATACGTTTTACAGAATGTGCACACAGACGCCCTGCCCCTCCCCCCAAGGCACAGCCTCACCCGCCCCTGCCGGGGGCCAGGGGACGTCTGCCGAGACGGGTGGCCCAGCGTCTCCCGGGAGAGGGCTTCCTCCTCCTCCCTCCCCCAGAGAGCTCAGGATCTTGGAGAAAGCCGGACAGCTCTGTGCCACAGCCTGGGGCCAGGCCGATGCCCTCACCCGGGCAGACCCCTCGGGCCCAGATCTGAGCTGCCTGGACGGGGCGAGCCAGGCCTGGGGAAGGGCTGCGGCCCCCTGTCGGGCAGCGCCCGCCCCGTCCCACTACCTTCGATAAAAACGTGAAGAAACAGACGTACGTGTCACAGTGGGAAAAGCTGACCCACCCGGTGGGTAGTCCCCTGACACCCCCCCAACTTTTAACACACGTCCCCTATACAATATACACGGCCTCGGGGGCAGGCCGAGCCCAGCCCACCCGCGGGGACCGCAGGAGCGTCCTCTCTGAGCTGAGCTGCTGGGAGCCCTGGCGGGCAGGGCGGGGGGCGCAGAGCAGCCGGGCGCAGCAGAAAGGCAGGACGGAGGCCGGGTGCAGCAGCCCCACGTCCCCAGCACGGCGGGCGGGGGCCTTGGCATGGGGTGGGAGGTGGGCCTGGAGCAGGGGCCAGGGAGCCCCTGGGAGGCCTGAGGTCGGGGGCCGGGGAGGAGGGGCCGCAGCTGCCTCAGTACTTGGGGACCTTGCTGTAGTCCTCGGCGTGGACGTGCCGGCACAGGCAGATGGACAGCAGCATGCCCAGGAGCTGTGGAGGGAGAGACGGCGCGTGAGAGGGACCCCAGCCCGGCTCCCGCGTGCAGGTCAGGACCAGCAGACTGTGGGCGACAGCCCACGGCCACCCCGTGACGCGGGCAGCAGAGGGAGGCGCAGGGAGGGACAGCGCCTTGTCACGGAGCCGGACAGTGCTCGGGCCAGAGGGACTCTGCAAGCCAGGGGGAGGGGTGCCTGCCCCATGGGCCTCGCCACGCCCCCCAGGACGTCAGCAGGGCAGAGACAACCGGGAGGGCAGCGTGTGAGGAAGGGTGGGAGGGCAGGGAGCCAGACCTCGATGACAGCGACGCCCCCACACACGCCGAGGATGATGCCCAGGTTCTCCTGCAGCCACGCCTGCACCTTCTCCATGCAGCCCTGCAAGGGCAGCACACGGCTCGTCGCCCGCACGGGGACCCCAGCGTGCGGAGCCACCCGAGGACCCCGCCCAGAGGGCCCGCGGAGGGGCTCTGCGTGCTCCCCGAATGAGCGCGCTCCTCCCGGGGAGGACACGCAGGTGCAAAGGAACGAGTCGGTCAGGGGAGAGACGGGATGGAGGAGGACGGGGCAGGAGCCCACCCGGCCCGCAGCCCCACGCACCTCCTTGTACACAGGCCAGTCCTCGGGGCTGTTACCGCTCTGCGTGCTGTTGCCGGGTGCCTCGCAGAAGCCCTTCCTCGGGAAGAGGCTGTCGTCCTCCTGCCCCTTGTCTTCGCAGGAGCAGGGGTAGGTGACCTCGGCACGACTCATGAGCTCGGCGTTGTCCGTCCAGTTGTAGAAGCTGACCCAGCCGCAGCACTTCACCTGGCGGGGCGGGGGACAGGCGGCTTGTGCCCACTGCCCACTGAGGCGGGGCACCTCCTGGCGGGGGCTCAGACCCGCCACCTCCAGCCCCCCTGGTCTCAGCCAAACCGCCAGGGGTTAGCGTTTAGGTTTTATTTTGGCTCCTGCGAGCCACGAGGGATTTTAGGTTGCTTTCAGGAAACACACCACACACCACGAAGACAGCAAACACCAGGGCCAGCAAAAACACCAAACAGGGTGGGAGGAAGTTCGAGTGGAAAGAACACAGGTGTGCAGGACACGGGAGAGCAAACGGCATACGGTTGAGAATGTGGGGTTTGAAGTCAGGCTACTGGGGTCAAATCCCAGCTCTGCCACCTACTACTAGCTCAGCACCCGTGGACGAGGGACTGGCCTCAGCGTCCTCATCTGCAAAATGGGCATAACAAAGGCTCCTAACTGGCAGGGCTGCCGGGAGGACAGACTGTGCCGAGCAGGGGAGGGTCCAGGGCGGGCGGGACAGCACAGTGAGAGCTCAGCAAAGGGCAGCTCTACTTTTCCGCGCTGACGTGTGCGGGAGTTGAGATTTGGCTCTGAACTCCCCAGTTGCCAATGTGAAAAAGGAGACATGGTCAATTCTGCTGTTTTAAGGGAGACGATGCTCTAGTTCCAGAGGGAAGAGAGCCTTTCTGGGCTGGGCGTGCTAACAGCTGGGAGGATTAAACGGGGCAGCAGGGGCACCCAGCACGGTCAGTTCCGGGAACTGCCTCCTTAGTCCCAGGCCAGCGGCCAGTGGCCAGCAGGGGGCGCACTGGGCACGCTCAGGAGCGCGCGGGCTCCAGGCAGTTTCTAACCCAGGTTTCGCTTCTAGTGGCCGGGCTGCCTCCTCTGGCAGAAGAGGCACCTCTGGGGGACACCCAGGCCTGCAGGGCTGGGGGCACCGGCAGGCTCTCCCACACCTGAGCAAAATGAGGCAGCTTTCCTTGGCCCGTCTACGCACCGGGCAGAGCCCTCCTTTCCCAGGGCCCCTTGCCCTGCCCCCTGCTGCCCCCTGCCCCCAGCAGCACGGGCCACCTCCAGCCTGTGTCTCAATGGTGGGGCACAGTGAGTAAGACGTCACCACCCACGTGCTGCGTAATAAGCACTGCCCAAGTGCCACAGGCTTTACCAATGCATCTCCCACGAGCATGGATCAATAGCCCCATTTTATAGATAAGGAAACTGAGGCTCAGCAAAGGTCTAGCGAGGAAGTAGCAGAGTTAATACTCCAGCTCTAGGGAGCCTGACTCACAGCCTGCTTTCTAGGCTACCATCACAAGCAGCGTCAGAATAATCTAGAAGCCCTGCTGCTGCAGGAACCCCCAACCAGCCACCAGCCTCCCATGGTGGGCCGCCGACCACCTCCCAAAGGACCCTCCTCTCCCCAGGAAGCCTTGAAGGGTGGCACCGGTTGGGCCTGGGACATCCGGCTCCCTCTAATCTTAGCAAAGTCTTAACAATTTGCGGTCAAACTACAGGTGTGACCAAAATGTCTCCCTGCATGCAACGAGCTCCCCAGCTGCCGTGGGCCCCAGCCCTGATCTCCTCTGCCGGGGCCAGGAAACAGCACCCGCCCCTTCCCAGCGTGGAGAAGGCCTGGACAGAGCGTCCTACCTCCAGACCCCAGAGCCTCCCGGTGCTGCGGAGCTGGGCTTCCTCCTGCTGCCGCCACCCCGCCCCTCACTCCCCACAGCCCTCCCCCAGGCGCCAGCAGGCCCTAAGTGACCACTGTGCCCAGCACCCTCACAGGACAGGGGAGGCTGCAGCCCAGAGAGGGCGGGCCCTGGCCATAGGCACACACAGCACCTGGGACCACAAGAAATGGGAGCCAGGACCTGGTCAGTAGAGTCCATTTGTGTGTGTGTGCCATTGGTTCAACCCTCGAGTCAGGCTGGGAACCCCGTCAGTCGGTCAGTCCATCCATCCATCCGTCTGTCCATCTCACTCTAATCAAGGCGTGACACGCATACACTGATGTGCACAGATTCGGCTTGGCGAACTTCTACGTATGTGCACGTACTGGTGCAATCAGCATCCAGATCAAGATTTGGATAGAAGATGGCTTTCACCCCAGAAGGTTCCCTTGGGGCCTCCCCAGCCCCGCTCCCCAGAGGCAGCCTCTACTCAGACTTCTCTCCGCAATTCAGCCTTGGCACCCCATTTCCAAACACCTGGGGAGCTCCCGACACCCCCAGGGCTGCCCCGAGATGAATGAGAGGGCTGACAGCTGCCCCCACACCCGCACCCCGGGCCACAGACGGGATCTCTGTGAGCCGTGGAGCTGCCTCCCAGACTCTGGGCCCCTGAGCAGGGACCCTGGTGTTGGCCGGGGCTCCGGGAGAGGGGGCTGCCCCGGCACCCCCTGCCCCCAACGGATACACACTCTCTCCGCCAGGCACACTGGGGCCCAGACACCAGTCCCAGACACACGGACGCCCAGCCCAGAGACCACGCCGCCCCGCCCGGCCTCACCTGGGCCTGCACGTAGTCCCAGGCCTCCTGCAGGCTGTCCTCGCGGCTGCTGTTGTAGTTCCGGATGAGCTCGGTCACGATGCTGCCCATCTCCTGCTTCAGCTGCGGGGAGGCAAGGACCAGGGTCAGGCTTCCTGGACCCCGCGCCCCACCTCCGGTCACCCCACTTTGATTGTCTGCCCTGGTCCCTCCCTGGAGCTCCTTGGGTACCCAAGGCAGCCAGTGCCAACCTCTCCGCCCCAGTCTATTCTGCACTCAGCAGCCACCTGGCCCCATAAACACCAATTTTTCCACTGCTGAAAAATTCCAGTGGCCCTCCGCCACCCTCAGGAAAAATGCCAGTGTCTTCTCAATGGCCTGCGAGGCCCTACACCTTTTGTCCCTGCTTTCCCAGGCCTCGTTTCCTCTGTTCCGACTCCCTCTGCTTCAATTGCACAGGTCTCCTTGCTGCCTCTGTGCATGCTCCTGCCCCAGGGCCTTTGCACTTGCTGTTCCCTCTGCCTGGAATGCTCTTTCCCTAGATATTAACACGGCTCACTCCTCTGCTTCCTTAAGGGCTCTGCTCAACTGCCACCTCCTCAGAAAGGCCTTCCTGGACCTCTCCACAAACTATCAGCCCTCTCCAGCCCGTTCCCTCAGCCTGCAAGGGTGAGCATGCTGTGTGTTTCTGCACAGCACTGACGTTGCATGCTCGCTGGTGTTTTAGGGTTTATCATGCGCCCTCCACTAGCGTGTCAGCTCCGTGGGGGCAGGGACTGTATCTGGCGTGCGTGCTACAGAGCGAGACAGACACACCAGGTCCCTAGGGCTAGTGGGAAGCCCTGCACAGAGGAGGTGTGCAGAGCACGGAGAGACGCAAGTGTGCATGGCACCGAAGCCACACTCTGCACTCCTGCAGGTACGCCTCACGCCTCGCACGGAGCGAGGGCCGTTGCTGCCCCTCACAGAGAAGAGGGACAGAGAGGGAGCTTGGCTACCCTCCTTTTTGCATGGAGCAGGGTGCAGCCTCTCAGACCAGCACTCCCAAGACTGCAGGGCAGACACCCCTCTGTCGTGGGGCCCCATGACGGATGGGCCTGGCACCTCAGCACCCCTGCTGCTCAAACAGCCCTGCCCTGCCACCCAGCCCTCAGCGGCACCTGGAGCTCAGGTCCTGCCCTCTGTGACCGGCTGCCGGCCCCAGGGCTCTGTCAGGCCCACACCTTGACTGTGCCACTCCCCGCCTCCCCCCCCCACCCGCCCCGGGACTCAGGGGCCCGCCAGGGGGTGGAGCGGAGCCCCCATTTAACTGCAGGGAGAAAACGCTGATGCGCAGAGACAACCAACGAGGGGTTCAGGGAGAAGAAGGATTCAGCCCCAAAGCCCCCTCCTCGGAGAAGCTGACCTCGCCACGGCAGCTTTTCAGGACCAGGCCAGCCGCGCGGAGGGAGGCGGACCCGAACCCGGCCTCTCGGGCGAGGACGGGCCTCCCTCGGGCAGGACGCCTGGCGTCTCCGTGGGCCCTGCCCAGGGCCCTGCCCAGGCACACAGCATGGATGGGCTGGTCACGGCCACCCGTGGTTGTCGCAGGGACCCCAGGGTGAGGGACCCGAGAGGGCAGGGCCGCCAGGGGCAAGGCCGCATACTTGCCCCCTCGGTTCCCCGGAAAGAGGAGCGGGGACAGGTGCTTCCAGGCGGGGCTCCCAGAGCCGGGCTCGGAGGGAAGGCTGCCAGTGGGGCAGCGGGACCGGGGGCCCCTGTGCCCCTGCGTCACCCTCAGTGACACCAGGACACCAGCCCCCGGGGGCTGCTCCCTGCACCCTGCCAGGCAGTGATGCTCTCAGCAGGAGACTTTTTAAAAACAAAACACACAAACAACCCCCAAAATACCTCATACAGAGTTCTGCAATTGACAAAGCTTTCCTATCAGTAATCAATCATGACACTAATAGTGGCTTAGCTTTCATCAGATGCTGGTTCCGAGCCAGGCATTGTGGTACGCACTTTTAACGTGGTGTCTCCATTCCATCCAGGTCTATGGGCTAGGTATTGCCCCTGCTCCCTCATTACAGACTCACAGAAAACAAGCCCAGAAAGGTTAATTAACTTGCCCTAGGTCACACAGCCAACAGGTGGAAGCACCGAGGTTTGGCCCCAGCCTTGTCTGACTCCGGAGCCCAGGTCTCGCCCACCGAGCCTTGTCAGTGTTCAGACCACACGGTCGCGGCCGAAGCAGGTCAGAACAGTTTGAACAGGGGCTCAGAGGAGCTAAGCGGTTTGCTGGCATCACGCAGCGGGGACTGTCTCCTGCAGAGCACAGGTCTTTCTGCCCCAACGCCTCGGCTGCGCGCGAGTCCCCAGCGGGCGAACGCACTCAGCGTTGTGCACAGAGGGGTCCCCAGGAGCGTCTGTGCAGAGCCGCCTCTCCCACATCCGCCCCCACCCACCGAGCGACAGGCCGCCCTCGGGCTCTATTTATACTCCAGCGGTTGTCGCTGCAGCCTGGACTTCCCTGTTTCCCTCCCCTGAAACGACAAGGTGACGGAAGCTGCGTGGTTTCCACCGAGACTGGGCGGTTTCCGTGGAAACGCCGCATCATTGGCCAGGCCAGGATGTGGCTGAGGGACACGGCCGGCCGGGCCACAGGGGCTGGTTCGGCTCGGAACGGAGGCCCTGGGACCCCAGTGCTCCCCTGTGCTGGGAGCCCAGGGAGGTCACCCTGGCAACCAGGTAGCTGCTGAGACAGTGAGAGCCCAGAGGTGGCACGAGCAGACGTTCATGATCTCACCGCGTCCCTGCGGGGCCGCCCCGTGACCCTCTCCCTTCTTCCTGAAGCCCCGGGGGTGATCACCCCTCCATCGCTCCACGGCTGGGGAGGCCCTGCCGTCACGACTCCCCACACCCTGGCACGAGTAACGGTTCAAGGATGGGCTTGAGACCCAAGGTCACATACGCGGCCCTTCTGCTACTGCGGCGGGATAGGACCTGAGCTCACCTCAGGCTCCACTGGGGACAGCCCTGCCCGAGAAGGGAGCCAACCTGGCCCCTGCTGAGCCTGCAGCCAGCTCCGGCCACTCTGGAGCATGCAACGACGAGTCCTGCCCAGGACCGGCTGTGCACGTCGCACCCAGTGCAAAGTGAAAACGCAGTGCCCTTGTTTAAAAATGAGTAAGAATTTCAAGACAGCAACAGCAGAGCACGAAAGCGAGCACAGAGTCCTTGGGAGTGTGGGATCCTGTGTGACCCCAGAGGCCGCATGCCTGGTCCCGCCCTCCACCCCCTCCCCATTTCCCAGGAGAGAAAACCGTGGCCCAGAGAGTTGGCGCAAAGTGCAAGACGCCTCCGCCCGGCCGGAGACCCCACCGCCCCCTGGTGACTCCACTCACTTCCCACGGTGACGCAGTGCTTTGTGTCACCTTGGAGTGTGACTTTTCACAGAGAGTCAGGGACAGAGGAGAACTTTGGGTCCAGCCTCCCCTTCAAAGGAGAGCGTCCTCCCGCCCTGATCCAGGCTCTCCGTCAGTGCTCCCTGAGACGGGGAACTCAGCACCTCACACGACAGCACGTGGAGAGGACCCGCGCTTTGTCATTGTGCCCAAATGATTCCGACACGCTTGTATTACTTTGCATCTTCCCCAGCCCCCTGAGTCCCAGCCGGGACGACACAGAACAGATCAAACCTGTCTCTCCCAGGACAGAGATCAGTCCGACATTGGAGACCAGTCTCCAGGGCAACGTCACCCCTCTTTCCGGGGGACTTTCCAGGCTCCCGTGCCTGTTCCTGGGGACGGAGTGCAGGCCTCTCCCGTGCTCCTCACTCCAACGTGTCGAGTCGCCCCTCACGATGAGGCGCCCGAATGTGACGTGAAGGGCCCGCGTTCTCCCACCCTCCCTCCAGGCTTCCCACGGAGATGCGCCACACGCCGTGCTGGGCCGCCGAGATGCCAGCTCCGGGGCTTCTTCCCGGTGGGGAGCCGGGGCCCTTTGCCACGGCGAGGGTGGCGGCGTGTACTCTCCGCAACCACTGGGCCTGTCCTGGAGGCCCGGCTGCACCCCACATCGCCAGCCGCCCCGAGTTCAGAGCCAGCACCCAGCGCGTGACCCTGTTCAAGTTTCTCTCCATAATCCCTTTCAGGAGGGGCAGCCTGGACACCCCTTTTCCTTTCCTAACAGGGAAGAGAAAGGCCGCCTCTCCCTGCACCCCCATAGCCTGCCTGCCCGTAGAAACCGGGGCCAGAGGGCCAGAGGGCTCCAACCCGCAGGCAGACGGCTCACAGAGGAGCGCCGGGCCGCTGGGGACCGCCTCACCACCTGTGCCGGGAGGCCACGCGAGCACTGGTGATCTGGGGCGTCCTGGGCGATGGGGGAGGAGGACAAAGGGAATCGCTGCTCTCCCACCAACCTCTCTGGGGGCAGGCTGGCCCGGCCACCGTCACTGCCCCACCTCCGCCAGGCCAAGCGAGCCCCTTCCTCTCCAAGCTCTCGGCCCCCGGCCTTCTGCTCAGGCCCCTGACACAAGCTCTCAGCCCCCCAGTCTCTAGCCGTTGGGCTAGCGGTCTGGCCCGCCTGAGCGCACCGGGCCCAGCGCCTGGCTCGTCGTAGGAATCGGTTGACCTTCACGTCCTTCCTTGTGACCCCCTTCAACCCCCACTGTCTGGAGCAAACAAGTCACAATTCCAAAGTGCCAGAGCTGGAAATGGCCCAAGAGGTCACGCGCGGCTCAGAGAGGCGAGGTAACTCATCCAAAGCCACACAGCAATCGGTGGCAGAGCCTTCCCCCTGAATCCGAGGGAGGTGACAATGGTGGCAGTACTAATAAATGCTCGCAACGATGCCAGCGACGTCTGTCCCGGGCGGGGGCTGCGCCAGGCCCTTCCCACGTCAGCACTCCGCCTCTGCCACGGCTACGAGGCAGCCCCTGGGGCCCCTTCGCTGAGAAACGTTCAAATTCTAGAAAGGGGGCGTGGGGACACGGCACACCCAGCGGGGGTCTGGGGCCGCCCCCTGCAATCGCTCAATTCATTGTCCCCAGGGACACCTGGAGGGGTAAGCACAGGCCAGAAATAGCCTCGCTCCTGCTCGTTAGGGCTTTGTTTTGCCACCCAATGAGCTGCAAACTCTACTTTTGGTTTTCAAACCATTTTTTGGATTTCGGAATTGCAGGTAAGGGGCAGTGGGCCCGTGTCATTACTACCATCTGACAAATGAGGAAACTGAGGCGCAGAGAGGCTGCGTAACTTGGTCAGGATCTCAGAGCAGTGGTTCTGGACTCGAAGCTTTTGGCCACCACTCTATACAAGTGTGTCATGGTCTGTGTTCCCCCTTCAACCCTGGGCAGGGACAGGGGTCAGGCAGGTTTATTCTCCCCAATCTACAGAAGTGGAACCCAAGGCTCGAGAGGCTACATGCCCTGCCGGAGGCCTCCAGCGTCCCCATCGCTGCCCTGGGAACAGTGGCTGCCGGGAGCGGGGCAGGAAGGACAGACTGCAGCCCCGGGACCCCTGCGGGGGCAGCCCCGAGGCCCACTCCCATCTACCTGCCAGGAGGCCCGCGGGGAAAAGACGGGCCCACTCCCTTTCAAAAGGCCTTTATGCCCCCGGCTCAAACAAGTCCCACCTCCCAGCTGGGCCCATCTGCAGGAATAAACAGCATCAAGGGTATGTTTAGTCTTCCACTGAAATTTACAATGTGCTAGGAAATAAAAAAAACAAATCATTCATTCCAACTCAGGCGATAGAGCGGCACCAGAACTTCCCCGGGAAAGCCGGGAAATTTCCAGGCAGGCTGGGACAGGGGTGGGGAGGGGGTGGGAGGGACAGGGGAGGGGGTGGGAGGGGCAGGGGAGGGGAGGGGTGGTAGGGTACGACGCACAGAGTCTGGACTGCAGTCAGGAGGCCCAATTCTCCACACAAGCCCTGGGCTGGGGCTGGCGGGACGCTCTGAGGCTCAGCTGGTCATCGTCAGCCAAGCAGAGCTTTTACCAGCCGCTGGGGAGGCAGCGTGGTGTGGGGGAGGCACCGGCCTTGGGTCAGAGGGACCTGGAAGCACATCGCATTCCAATGCTTCACAGCTGTGTGTGACCGTAGCCAAAAGTCACTCTGCTTTTCTGGGCCTCAGTTTCTTAAAATGGAAACCGTTTGTACAATTGAAACGTGTGCTTCCGTTCATAGCACTGGCTCCGCTCCTGGCGTGGGGTCGGTGCCATCTTTATTACCGTGAGATGGCACATCCCACGGGGTGAGAGGGTGGACTGCCCGAGACCCCTGCAGAGGCAGCCAGCTGCGGAGCCACAGGGACCAGCTCACTGGGTTCTAATCCCCCTGATCCAGCCCCAGCTGCCGTGGGGCAGAAACAAGACCTGACCCTACAACCCTTTTGCTAGAAAAGGACTTTCCCTCCCCAACCACTGGCTTCCTGTCTCATAGCCAAATGAGCTTCCTTTCATCAACTGAATCCACTATTTCCCCTTTTGCTTTGACTGCCAGGAAGCTCAGCACCACTCCAGTTAGGCCTCAGCCCAAGAGTATCTCAGGCTGTGGTTTCAGGAACAATGGTCTTCCTCTCTCAGTGTAGGTTCTGCTCATGTGCTCACTCGCTTTCTCTCTCTCTCTCCCTCTCATTTAGACTTTACCCTGTGCCTATGATGGGAGTCAGCTCCAGGTCTCCTGGGAAACAAACTGGTTGTGGATTATAAACAAATAAAACAGTTCCAGGTAGGAACTACCACGGTGAAATTTCCCTGGCATGAACTCTGAAGCCATGCTGCGTGGGTTCCAACCCTGGCTCTGCCCCTTGTAGCTGTGCACGCTTGGGAAAGTCGCTCCATCTCTCTGTGCCTCAGCTTCCACATCTGAAAATGAGGGTAGCCACAGCCACAATCCCAGAGGATTGCTGGGAGGAACAATTCAGTGCAGCAGGTGCAGACACTCGGCACTAGGCTTGTCCTGAGCTCCATGAAGCGCTGGGTGCTGATGGTGGTGTGATGTTGTCTCCGCCCCTTCCAGGAGGGGTGTGAGGCAACTTGACCTCCAAGTGGAAAGATGCGGAGTCCACCTGGCCGCTGGCTCTGGCACCTCCACCGCCGGACACGAGCTGGCAGCGCTGGGGACAAGCAGGGCCCCAGGGCTCAGCGGGGCCCTGGGCCACATGCAGCGGGGCCTGGGGAAGGGCGAACGCTGGGCTGGGAGCCAGACAGCCTGGGCTGCCCTCTCCCCTTCGCCTAAGGATGGAGACTCTCGCACGGCCCCTCGAGGGCCCAGTGAGGTCAGTGAGAGAATGAACGTGAAGTGGCGACACTGTGCTTGGCATGTGGCGCGCGCCCGATCGGCTCTAGGGACCGTGGGGCTCGCCGTCACTGTTGCTGGTCTCGCGGTTCACCTCCGAGCACCTTCCTCTCCCTCTGTCAACACAAAACTGAGCCCGCAGAGCTGCTGCGAGGACAAGGTGATGTATATACGGCTTCTGGAAGATACCACGTGCACACAGTGGTGCTCCATGCGTGCTGTGACGGCACACAGTAGGTGCTCCATGCGTGCTAACTGTGACGGCACACAGTAGGTGCTCCATGCGTGCTAACTGTGACGGCACACAGTAGGTGCTCCATGTGTTTTGTGACAGCACACAGTAGGTGCTCCATGTGTTTTGTGACAGCACACAGTAGGTGCTCCATGAGTTCTGTGACAGCACACAGTAGGTGCTCCATGCGTGCTAACTGTGACGGCACACAGTAGGTGCTCCATGTGTTTTGTGACAGCACACAGTAGGTGCTCCATGAGTTCTGTGACAGCACACAGTAGGTGCTCCATGCGTGCTGTGACGGCACACAGTAGGTGCTCCATGCGTGCTAACGGTGACAGTCACAATGCACTGGCCTACCCAACAGCCCGTCCTGGCTCCTTCCTCTCTCATGCCTCTGTCTTCAGAGTCCGAGAGCAGGACGCTCACTTTCTCAGCCTCCCTTGCTGCTAAAAGGGCCCTTACACCCCAGTCCAGGGAGGTCTACTGGAGGGCTTGCTTTTCTGATGAAAAAGATAGTCACGGCTGGCATTGCCCACTTCCTTTCTGGCCACGGCAGTGGAGATGTCATGCCTGGGGCTGTGGCAGCCATCATGTAGCCATGAGGTGAGAGTGTGTGATGCAGAAAAGCCGTCACAGTGAGGGTGCTGGGCAGACAGCCAGGACCAGGGTCTCTGTGCTTCCAAACCAGACTCTGGCTAAGTCGACAACAAACGCCCTTAGAGTTAAAGCCACAGCAAATCTGATTTTCTACTTCTGAAAGCTGAACACCTCCCTCTGACGCAGGACTGATGCCTTTTTATTAATAGTCTCCTCTGGGCCTCATCTGTGCCGAGTGGCATGGATTTAACGCTTGCTAAGGTGTCTTAACAATTACAAGGACGACGAACATCTATTGAGTGCTTATGGTGCCCGCACTGTGCTAAGTGTTTCACTAAGATCTCGCAGAGTCCTTGCAACCAGCCGAGAGTGAAGTGCTACTGTTATCCCATTTTACGGATAGTGCAACCAGTACACGGAGGCAAGCAACCCACCCAGGGCTGCACAGCTGGAAAGTGGTGGCGTCAGGGTCAGGCTGAGATCTAGGCCCAGCAGTGAGCCTGCCCACGCCTGCTGCCCTTCCTCTGATGTTCTGGCCCGAGGTGCCAGTGGTCAAGGGGGCTGTCCCTGGCACCTGGTGGGACTGTCCACGACAGCGGAGAGGCTTCTTGTCCATCCTCACACCCAGGGTCCGTCCCCCGTGTGGCCGGTCCAGCCCAGTGAGGGGCAGGGAGAGGGAGGGAGCTTACCTTGCCCACGTTGAGGTAGAAGAGGATCCCGGCAGCCACCTGGACGACGAGGATGACGAGGAGGAAGGCAAAGTACTGGGGACACAGAGCAGGCCCGGAGTCAGCTGCGGCCCCGCCAGCCTCACCCGTCCCGCTCGCCCCGGGAGACGCTCTCTGCCCAAAGGCCGGGCAGGCGCAGTGCTCAGGGCCTGCGTGGCTGGGAGAGGGGCCGGGTGGCAGGGCCTGGGGCCGGGGGCAGGAGGGCTGTACTCACCAGGCCCAGCAGGCAGCGGACCTCGTTGACGGCGCCGATGCAGCCCAGGAAGCCCATGAGCATGGTGACGGCCCCCACGCCGATGAAGATGTAGCCCCCCATGCTGAGCGAGCTGGAGGAGGTTTCTGGGGGAAGGAGAAGGCATCCACTCACCAAGCACAGAATCGGTAAGCATTCCAGTCTGCCCTTGGATGCCCTCCGTGGGGCTGGGCTGCTGGGGTCAGCCGCGGTCCTCTGCAGGCCCCTCACCCCCCTGGGAAGCCTCCTTAGCTGGACAAGCCCCTCCTCCACGTCAAACTGCAGCCCCCACCCCATCCAGCCCAACCCCCTTCTCTGCTTTGCTTTTTCTCCTTATCACTCATCAGGACTGAAGAGCCCCTACATTTTACTGATTTTTCTTGCTCTCTGTCTGCCCACCAGCCCCCTCCAGGAAGGTGAGGTGCACAGGGGCTGGGGCTTCGGTTTATTCCTGCAGAATCTGGAGCCCGCAGAACCATGCCTGGCGCAGTGAGGCGCCGCACACTCTGAGTATCCGCGGAACTGACCGACCGTGGGCCCGTTAGGATTCCAGGCCGATTTCTGTTCTGCCTGCCTTCTCACCCATATAACAACACACACCAGCCTTTCTTGCTGCTCACTGTGCCTCGGGCCCTCACACACGCCGTCCCCAACCCTGACGTGACCCGGCCTGGCAGGCACCTGCATGGCCATTTCCCAGAGGAGGAAGCTGAGGCTCAGAGAGGTGCCCGGGCCGGGGACGGAGCTGGGATTTGGAAATATGTGACCCTCCAATGCCACGCTCTGTCTGCTGATGTGTGGGGCGCGCGCACTGGTACAGGCGTGGTGCTTGCCCACTCGTGCAGCTGCAGATACTCCCCGGTGCCCGCTCGTGCCGGGCACCTGCTGCTGGCTGGGGACACAGAAGGGAGGCCGACAAGGTCTGATGTTCGCCGTGGGGGTGGGGGCACGGACACAGTACGGGATTTCGGGCTGTGTCAGGGGCCATGAAGGTGCTGAGGCTGCGGACAGCACGGAGCGCGACAAGGCAGGGAGGGGGTGGGATGGCCAGGAGGGCGGCCTGGCAAGGCGCAGTTGGCCGAGACGTGAATGGAGAAGTCAGCGCGTGAAGGCGGAGGGAAGAGCACTCCAGGCAGCAGGGGCAAAGGGCCAAGGAAGGGTAGGCCTGGTGTGCGTGAAGAGCGGAAAGAAGGCAGTGACAGAGCAGTCCCGCAGGCAACGGTGCCTGGGGCACACGGGGAGGGCCTGGTGGCCGAGACCCTCTTCAGAGCTGCCGGTGGACAGAGCCCACCAGTGGGTGGAGGTCGGACCACTTGACTAGCATTTCCTAGCATTTCCTAGAAGCTCAACAGATCGCACAGGGAAAAGCCCATGTCTTGTCCAGCTCCCTCCTCGGCCTGGGGGATGCTCTACCCCCAGGGTGTTGTGATACCCCTGGGGGGCCAGGTGGAGGTGCTCCCCCATGGGCAGGTGGCTGCAGACAGCCCCAGGCGCTCTGGGAGGCTGGGCATCGTTTGCAGAAGGCTGGGGAGCAGTGTGGGTCGGAGCAAGCTCTCAGGGATGCAGATGCTCATGTCCACCACCGCCGGACAAAGCCTCCCCCAGCAGAGGGCCAAGAATCTGCATTTCTAAACTGGCCCCCTAAGGACCGAGGCACAGCCAGGGCTGACCACTGGCCTCGCAGGGAGAACACAGGCCTGGCAGGCCATGGTGCCCTGGGGACCTCGGGGAGGCTGAGCTCCCCTCCTTGGTGTTAGCACCCTAAGGTATAACCACTAAGCTTGGAGGGGGGTGGCTTCCATATCCAGCTCTACTTCCTGGTCACAGAATGTTCTGGAGCTCAGGAAGTGCCCCACTCCCAGGCTGCCCCCGCCTAGCTCCCCGCAAGAGCCCCCAGGAAGCTGGGCGGAGCCCCGCGGGGTGAGTGTGGGGGCCCCCTGGAGCTGAGCCCAGCCCTGCCCTGCCCGCCGGCCGCAGCAGTCAGCGTGGGCAGGGAGAGGCCGTCGATTCCACTTTTCCTAAACTTCCTGGGTTTGGCTTCCAACAATTCCTCCCAGTCACTACTCCCAGAAAAAAGGAACTGGCACTGCCCAAAAAGCCACTGTGTGCCAGCCCCGAACAAGGCCCTTTCTCCGGACCGTCCTGCTTAGTTTCATGGGAGTGAGGCCGCGCTCACATCCTGACTTTCTGCAAGGACCCGAGGCTCAGAGAGGCTGTGGGGCCGGGAGCGGCCGGCAGGAAAGATCCTCGCCCGGAGCCCAGCGCAGCCACCGGCCCCGTGTCTCAGAACGGTTCGCGGAGTCCAGTCTCTGTCCTCATCCAGGGCCCAGGTGCGCCCCAAATCTGGGCAACCTGACTTAGGAAGGGGGTCAGGGGTATATACTGGGGTACCCCATCCGCTGTGCACGACAGAACCACCCTTTAATTTCCCTGGGCCTGGCAGGGACTAGGGAGGTGGAAAGGAAGTGGCCACAGGGAAGGGGCTGGGGACCAAGAGGAGTAGGTTCTCACCCCAGCTCTGTCGCTAACGTGCTCCCACCTGGGCGAGCCGTTTTCTATTCCTTCCTCTACAAAACGTGAGTAAGTCCTGCTTCTTAAAGATATTATAAGTGTTAAATTTGTACTATAAAACTTAAACAGTCACTGATGTAGGGTTTCCTGTTCACTAGGAGTTGTTCTAAACTCTTTCCAGACAGAAATGGCTGATTGAATTTCCCTCCATACCCTGACGAGGTGCATTCTACGACTGTCGCTATTTCATAGGTGAGCAGGCACAGAGCGGTGAAGTAGCGCGCCCAGGGCCACAGGGCTGGCGGCAGCACGGCCACGCCGGGCCCCGGCAGTCGGGCTCCAGTCTGCCCTTCACCAGGGCACTAACCAGCGGCAGACAGCAGAGCCGTCGGTGCAGGGGTTCAGGGCAGGGGCTGGGGTGCCAGGCCACCCAGTCTGCATCCCAGCGCCCCCGCCTGCCAGCTCGGTGCCCCTGGACCACACGCGTCACCTCCTCTGAAACACGGCGAGAGCAAGGCCCAGCCCCGTGGACCCACGGTGAGGGCTCGCTGGGTGAGGAAAGCACTGTGTCACACGGCCCTGGTCCCTGCCTCTGACCCCCGCTGGCTGTGTGACTCTAGCGAGTCGTTCTCCACCCCCAGCCTCAGTCTACCCAAGTGCACAGTGACTGGGCTGGCAAATCAGTGTTTCCGGACCCTGGCTGCCAGGGGACCGGGGAATGTCTGACCAACACCAGTGTTCAGGGCCCACCCGCGCTCATGGAGTCAGATCCCTGGGGTGGGAGGGGCTCGCGGTATTTGTCAAAAACACCCCTGGCTGCATCTCGGGAGCCTCTGAGGTCTGGCCAGGTCAAGATCCTCAGACCCAACAGGGAGGAGGCTGGGGCTGCAACAGGACACTCCCCCATTCCAGTCCCGGGGCAGGGTGCAGAGGGCAGAGATGAGAAATGCGGGTGGGCGGGCCGGGCCTTTAGACTTTGCCCTGGGGCGCAGTGCCCGCGGGGTGTGGGCCATGGCCCAGGAAGGGGGAGCCCAGAACTAGTCAGGGCTGAGGAGGGTGTGGCCCACGTTGGGAAGGCTTGGGAGCGTGGCCCCCCACAACCTAACCCCAGAAGAGGCAGGCACCGATAGCCCTGGGGCACATCGGATGTGGCTAGAGGGTGGATCATCCTTGCTTCCCATCTCACGGAGGGGAGGCCTAGCCCCTGGGGCCCAGAGTGACAGATGTGGCCCCTCTATCACCACATCCTAGCCAGGTTCCGTTTTATTCAAATCGAGCAGCTGTCATGGGCCAGAGTCCAAACCAGCCGCCCCGGGCAGCTGCTGGGTGGGGAAGTGTGCCAAGGCCACAGAGAGGGGGCACAGCTGTGCTCCCCGAGCCTCTGCTGGGCCTCCCCTCACCGCAGCAAGCCCTAGGGGCTTCCCGGAGGAGGCCGAGTAGTCCTGAGTAGTCCCCGAGGGGCTGTTATCCATGCAGGAATGCCGGCTCCTTGCCTCCTGCCCCCAAGGAGAGAGAGAGGGTGCTTCCACGCTGTGGCTCAGGTGACTTAACTTCTCTGAGCCTCTGTGTCTTCACTGATAAGGCAGGAATAGGATATCATCTGCCTCGCAGGCTGTGTGGGATTAAGACAGTCGATACACGCAAGTGCCTGGCACACAGGAGCGTGATAAGGCAGCCGTGCCTGGCCCCTGGTGGTGCACAGGCCGACCTCCTAGCGCTGCCTGGCTCACGCAGGTGTGTCCGCAACACCTAGCACTGCCTTCCTGGCTCCTTTCTACACCTCTCTGCAATGGGGAGCGAGGGGCTGCTGCCCACATCCTGCTGACCGGGCCAGTGGAGGCACAGAGAATGTACAAGGCTTTCCCAAGGGAAGGGGCCAGGAAGGGAAAACAAGCCTCCCTCATCCCCCAGTGTTCTCCAGACAACAGCAGCTTTGTTTGGGGAAGAAGAGAAAATTTCTTCTGGAAACCCCTGCCGTGGGACCCAGGGTGCAGTGGTCAGCAACAGGACCTGGTCACGTCCCTGAGGCCAGCTGGAAAAGCCACAGGCATCGAAGCTACAGTAGCTGTGGGACAGTTCTGCCTGCAGCCCGGCCCTCCCCCACCGCGGGCTGGGGTCTGGGGAAGCAGAGGGTCCTTACGCAGGACAGAGATGAAACTGCTCCTGTCGGCCAGGATCCACACCCCGAAGCCCAGGATCACCGCGCCCAGGATCTGGAAGGAGAAGGGGCAGTTAATGGGGGGCCCAAGAGCAGGTGGAGTGAGAGCCTCCCCTTCCCACCTACCCCTGTGGCCCAGGCCAGGGAGGGAAGGGCTAGGGGACACAGAGGGAGCCACCTCCTTCTTCTCCAGCCCAGCGACGTCAAGATGCCCTCAGGGCCCAAACCCCAGCGATCCAGCCACAAGACCCCATGTAGGGGATCCCTCCTGTCTCCCCTCACCCCCGCAAACTCATTGTTCCCCTGAGTGTCCTGGTTAGCCTCCCGCCAGGGTGCCATTCCTGTCGCTACTCCTCCACTCCAGCCCGGTCAGGGCCCAGAAGCTTCTCCGAGAAGCAGGGGTCTGGGGAACACTCTCCGTGGACTTGAACGTCAAAGCCCAACTTCCCCAGGAGGCTTCCCTGACTCCCCCGGGCAGACGAAGGCGTCTGTCCCCATTCTGTGGCAACCACTGCCTGACCCTTCTTAACAGCCATTCCCCGGGCGTCTCTGCTGTGCTGCTTTCTCTGGCTCGACTGTGAGCCGCGGAGGGCAGGAACGTCCCCCGGCAGTCCTGCAGTACTAGGTGCTGGGCAGCCAAGGGAAGGAGGGAGCTCAGGAACCAAACTCTGCAGATGCAGGTTAGGAAGGAAAATGAATGAGGGGTGACTGAGGGTGACCAATGTGGGCCCCAGGCCCAGGATTCCCTGCCTTCCTCCCTCCCCCAGGGTGGGGTCTACAACCTGAGCTCACCTTCCCAGGTGGCTCAACCAAGATCCACCACCCCGCAAAGCTGGCCAAGTGGGAGACATGCCTATGGTCTGAGTAAAGGCACGGGTTGCCTTTGGGGGTGGTCCTGTGTCACCCCACAAGGCTGGATGTTACCTAGGGCCAGGACCGGGCCCACCTGGTGGACAACACACCTTGAGGGTCCAACCTCTATCACCAGCCACCATCTCATGGTCCCAGGTCCAAGGCCAGCAGCTGCCATTGAGCCCTCAGCCTGGGGCTAGCATGGCCCCACGGCCTCGCAGCCTTGCTCTGGTGTTATTAAAGACGAGAGCCAGGACCACAGCAAGGCACCAGGCACCTGCCTTGGGCCCAACATGTGAGAGGGCACCCAAAACCCAGTTATCAAGATAAATAATATTTTATGGTAATACTTTAAAAATAAAATAAAGGCAAAACAAATCCATGATGAAACATTAAACTTTGAAATAAAATTTTGACAGGACTGGCACTACTGATTTTCCTTTCATCCCAGGCCCCAGAGTGGCTGGGTGGGGCGGCGCCTCTCCTGCTTCACCCTCGGCCCAGCCGCCTTTAAGAGCACCCCAGCTGGTGACCACGGCCATAAAAGCGTGGGGACCGCCCCACATTTGTCCTCCACCTTCCGTTAAATTCATCATTAAAGCATCAAGAGTCCTCTCTCCTAGTGAGACGGGCCCTGTAACCGTCCTCATTTTATACACGGGGAAACTGAGGCCCTGATTTCACGCTTCAGGGACTGGCAGCCAGATAGTGGCAGGGGAGCATAGGGGTGTTTGGGATCTGCCCTGGCCTTAGCGCAAAGAGCCAGGCTCTGGGGACAGGAAAGCGGCTGAGACACGGGGCACGGGAGGGGTCCCTTTGAGGTGGCCCCTGAGTCTGCACAGCTGGCAGGAAGGGGGGCTTTCCAGGCCCTGGAGTTTGGTTCCCAAAGGCTCCCGCAGCCCTGCCCACCCCAGTCCTCAGAGCCCCCCGCCTCATTCACGGGGTGGGCAGGGAGGGAGGACAGCCCCTCCAAAAAGGGAGTGGGGGCGGGGCAGAAAATTCCTGCTGGGCAAACGTAATCCCAAAGAGATCAAAATCCCAGACTGCCCAGCCAGCTCTTGAGCTCGCCAAGAGGAACCCAGAGCGCGAGGTCCCTGGTGCCGCCTGTTCAGTCCCTCTGTGGGTCTGGTGACCACAGCGTGGCTGGACCACCAGCCTGGGTGAGGCACCATGGCCCCCGTTTCTCTGTGAGCCAAGACTGGGGCCTGGGGTGCACCCCACATTAACCACCCCCAGCCTGGCTGCAACCTCCGGAGGAGCCTCAGCCAGGAGCCAGGACCCTCGCTGGGGTTAGGCTACGAGTGCCCTTCCCCCTGCAGCCACAGCACCAGCCGCTCTGCGTGTCTTTGAACCTGAGAAGAGCAGCGGGGCGGCGTGCCAGGAGCGTGGGGTTGGGAGGGCATGCAGGCAGGGATGAACACGAGCTCACGCGGGCAGGCGCCAGCACACACGGCAGACAGCAATTTTTCCAAACTGCAAATACGATCACGTAACCCCTTTCCAACGTGCATGAAACACGGGCCAGAGCCCTCCCGGGGCAGGCTGCACGGTCTGTGCCTGGAGGGGCCACTACCCCACGCCCCTGCTGCCGGGACCCCTCTCGCCCCAGCCACACCTGGAACCCCGGGAAGCCCTTGGTCACGTCTGGGCCAGGCTAGTGCCTCGTCATCCAGTTTGCCAGGGCCCATCCTAGGCCCCCCAACTGCAATTTGCAATCCACTCGGGTAGTCGCTGGACTGACGCCCGCCGTCCCGGGACACAGGCCCTGCAAGTGCAGCAACCAGGCTCTTCTGCCTGCAAAGACTGAACACACAGGGGCGTGGGGCACACGCTTGTTCGAGTGATGAGTAGGTGAACAAACACACGCTGCCTCCTCCAACCCTCTTCCTGCGCCCCCCACCCCACCCGCGTCCTGAGGGCTTGCCCTGGGCCGGCACACAGACAGTTAACGTGTGATTCCCGCCAGCCCCCAGGAGGAGCGGGAAGGAGGCCAAGGCCTAGATGGCCCGGGACCAGCTCCCAGAGCTCTGGCCAGAGAGAAGATTTTCCAGTCTCTGGTTCTGTGGGGCAGCCTGGGAGCAGGATAGGAAGGGACACCGTGGCCAAAACCACCAACTCCACCCCCTTTCTCTACTAGGTCTCGCGGTCCTGCCCACCACCCCGTGCCCATTCTCTCGTGGAAGACAGTTTCCATACTCCTGAAACTCAAGCCCCGCCACCTCCTAGGCCAGCGCCCAGATCTGTCTCTCTAGACCCCTGAAGCCCCGTGGGACCGAGCCGCAGCGCTCTGCCCCCTGACCCCAGCCCTTTACTCTGGGTCTCCACCAGACGCCAAGCGCCTGCCAGGGAGGGCTTGGCTTCGCCTGCAGGAGCAGCTGCTTCCCAAGGTCCTGGGCCAGTGGGCGGGACCTGCCCGCCACGCTGGGGAAGCCCAGGCCCTGCCCGGGGTGGGTTCCAGGCCTGGCTGCCACGAGCAGATGGCCACAGCCACCGTGCGGCCTCAGCTCGGTCCTCGAGGAAGGAGCTGGGGCCAGAGCCAGGGTGGACAAATGACAGGGCAGGCAACACCAGGGTTGTCATGTGTGTGTGTGCACGTGTGTGTGCATGTGCCAGGAACACACGTGTACATATATGTGCATTGGGTTAAAGTTATGAAGGGGGATTTAAAGGATTCTTTTCTTTTCTTTTTAGACTGAAAAAAATTTTCTTTGTATAATTTTAAGGAGTACAAGAGCAGTTTTGTTACATGAACATACTATGTAGTGGTGAAGTCTGGGCTATTCGTGGGACCATCACCCAAATAGTGTACATTGTACCATCGAGTCAGAATGACTCTTTATTTTCCAAACTTCCTAGGATCCTATGTAACTTGTCATGTAAAACTCTCCCCTACCACAAGTAACTCATATCTGCTGTAGGAAATTTGGAAAGTACAGAGAAGCACAAAGAATAAAATAAAAATTCCCAAGAATCCCAAAACTAACATTCATAGGGATTTTCTTCTCCTCTCAAAAATATTCATGTTTTGATGAACATATACATTTTTTAAAATAAAACTGGATCATAACAAATACCCTATTGTGTAAACGGACTTGTCAGCAGCGTGGGGTGAACAGAGAACATGGAGAAGCCACGGCCCAGCACCACTCTGGGGCTGGGAAGGCCACACTCGCTCACACACTCAGCCCCCCACCCTGGCAACTTCAATGCAGGAGTTTTGTCGGTGCCAGGCTGGAGAGGAAAACTGAGGCCCCGGGAAAACCAGCTCCAGATGTGCCCCGGAGCTTGTACGTGGGCAGCTGGGGGACCCGGGGACCCCTGCCTGGGTGGGGCTGGGGACAGGCGACATGCCCCTCCACGACCACAGCCTGGCCTCCTCTTGCTCACCCTGCGGGAGCTCAGGGGGCTGCACCCCGAGACAGGTGTGGGGGTTCTGGGGGCAGTTGGGGCCTGGAACTGTCACAGGTAAGTTCTTAGCGTGGGGGTGGGGGCGATCAGGACTGGACACGCCAAGATGCTTCGTCCAACGCGCCTGCTAGCGAGCTGGGGGGTGCCAGGCCTCTCCTCTCCCCACACCCACCTCCAGCCCTGCCTGGCCCAGGCTCTGAGTGCTCCAGGACAGGAACTCAGTACTTTGCCCAAGAGCCAACTGGGAATGCCGGGAATCTCGCCGCCCCCACCCGCTTCCACTCAGGACAGTCTGTCCTCAGCCCCCACCAACCGCACGCCATCGCCCGTGCCCCCGCCCTGGAGGGGCTCAGGCTGGAGGCCCTTGGAGGGCAGTCTGCTGGGGGCGGTGGGGGCAGCACTGGCCATACTTACAAAGAAGAGCAGGTTGAAGAGGAAGAGAAAGTATTTGGTGACTTTGATGCAGGCTGACCCCATCCTGCCAGTCCAGGAGCTCCCTGGGGAGAAGAGAGAAGGCAGGTCAGTGAGGAGGGGAGCCAAGGCTGGCGGCACCCGGGACCCCGGCCCAAGGTCATCTCGGGTCACCCTCACGGCAACCCCACGAGGTAGGTGCCAACGCTGGCCCTGCTTTGCGGAATGACCGGCCAAAAGCCACGTGGCCAGGAAGGGTGGTCGTGTGAGAGGCCTTGGCCACTTGACGCTTGGCAGCTGGGGGCTGTGGCCGGAGGGAGGGAAATTTCTCAGGGAAGCCCTCACCTCCACAACCCCAGGCTCTGACACTCTCCCAGATGGAAGTTAGGGACCCAGAGGTGAGACCTATGCTTGTTCCATAGGGCTGGGGGCTGGGGGTTGGGCTGCGGAGCCTTCTCAGAAAACGGACCGAGTATTCATCACAAAGGGAATGCACGTGCGTGGTAGAACACCCGACACACACAGAAAAATAGAAATCAAACAAAAACGTTTATGTCAGCCCAGAGGTGAACATGGTCATCGTTGTAATAGTTATACTTCCAATGTGTGTGTGTGTGTGTGTAACAAATGGGTTTAAACAAAATTGGGCTGGTCTCGTAGAGAGTGTTTTGGAGCCTGCCCTTTTCATTCTACAACATACAATCTCTGAATGCTGATAAAATGTTCTTCTATAACATAATTTTACAGGTTACATGTTGAATGTTGAATGTTCCATCCTGTTAATCAGTGCTTAACATTTTGGAAGTCACAGACTCTCTTCTTCCAACACGCCTGCTAATGAGCTAGGGGGATGCCCAGGGGCTAGGGGGGGAATCCGTGTATAGGTAACATTTTGCAAATAATTTCTAGGGGTTCATGGACTCCACGAAACCGACTCTGGAACCCCAATAAGCCCACGTTGAAGTCCCAGATACAACCATACCACAGAGCATTTAGCCATTACTCTAAGGTTGGACACACAGGTTGTTTCCAAGTTTTCGTAGTCACCCCGGATGACACAAGTTGTGCTTATGAAATGACATAAACCAGGTGTGAGCATGCTGCCCCTGCCACTCTGAAGGATCCCAGGAGAGGGGAAGACTTGGGGAGGAAGAGGGGAGCTGGGAGCTGGCTCCCCACACCCGCTCTGGGACCAGACAATCCAGGAATGACAACTGCCAGCCCTCCAGCCCTGCAGGGCGAAGGGAGCCAGCGCCACCAGGCAGCTGGGACCAGGACAGCTGGCCTGGAACAGCTGCATGGGCAGAGCTGGGCTGGGGGTTGGGGGGAGGCACTAGGCCCGGTGTGTTCCCCCTGACAGTAGAGGAGGGGGAGCAGGCCACAGAGAGAGGAAAGGAAGGCCTGGGCTTCCCCCCTTCCTCCTGTGTGCCATGTGAGAGCCTGTCCCAAAGTCTTGCAGCTTTCCTAGTCTACATAGACCCCCCACCCTGCCCATCCTTTTCTGGACATGCCAACGAGCCATAAAATCTTCTAGCATCCTTGCCAAATGGGAACTCAGCTTCTACTTTGCACACCTCCAGTGATGGGAGAGGTGGCTAACAGGGGGGCTCCTGCCCTCCCAAGGGGTCCAGTTCGGTGTTCTGGCAGCTTTGCTATAGAGGGAGTTCTCTTTAACTGCCTTTCTAAAGGGCAGATTTGGGCACAACATGAAACAAAGCTGCCCACAGAAGGAAAAGGCTGCCTGGGTGGCAGTGAGCTCCCCATCATATGTGGCATTTTTGGAAGCAAAGTCTGATTAAAAGACCTATGGAGGATTCAAGTGCTATATGGGGAGATTAGACCAAATGGCTCTTGCAGTCTAGCAGGGGCCACAGCCTGGGCCTGAGAACTGCAGAGACGGTGGTGACTCAGAAAGCGGGGAAGTCCGGTCCCAACAACGCCCGCCCCCCGCCGGGGCCTCCCCCAGACCTAGAGAGGAGAAAACATGACTCCCCCGAGTCAGGAGAGCCAGAGATCTGAGGTCTCAAAGCCAGCCCGGCCAGAGGAAGGCCTGCTGGGGGCCGGGAACATCAAGGAGGGCCATTGTTTCTCCTCCCGCCTCCCAGCAGAGCGCCTGACACACCACAGGCAGCTAAACAAAACAGCGAGAGGAGAGACATTCTCTCCCAGAGCAAGGCGTGTTTTTCTTTCCTACCACGGACCCAGACCCGGACTGCTTGGCTTCAGCGGGGCTGGGTCTCCTCCCAGCAGACGCACGGGGCAGGCCCCAGGGGACCAAGCCAGGCTCGGCGCCCAGGCAGCGGGGACAAGCCTTCCCTTTGCCAGCAGAACTTCATCTGACCGCAGTCGAGCAGCCACGCGTCTTGGGTGACGGGGCCGTTGGTGTCCTTGTGAAACTGCAGAGATGTGGAAAGAGCTCTTTGGCAGCCCTGCCTCGGACCCTCTCTGCTGCTGTTGCAGGGAAGGGGTTTCTGCACTCTCTGGCTCATGCGTCCTCTGGGCAGGCTGGGTCCCCAGGGCAGTGGGGGTGGGGGTGTAGGGGACGTTCAGCGAAGGGCAGATTTTAGAAAAGAGCAACTGTGGGGTCTGCGGAGGGAGAAGCCCCGTGATCTGCACAGCCCTGGAGCTGGGCATTCCCAGCCTCGGTGAACCTGAGGCTCGGACGGGTCAAGTAATTTGCGCAAGTCACTCGGCTCATAAACGGCGGCGGGTTCCAGAGTCCAGGGTATTTCCACTGCGAAGTGCTACTTTCTGGGTGGTGGCCACGACTATAAAGGGACCTCTGGGAGTGGCCTGGATTCCTTTGCCCAGATAGGTGTGAGGACAAATGTGGCTGCTCAAAGGTGCTCCGGTTTGGTGGGCAAGAAGGGGGTGGGAAACGCATCGCCAAGGCCCAGCCTCAGGCGGCCGGGCTGGAATCCCCCTGATGTCCCAGACCCCGTACAACCTTGGCTGGTCCCTTGGCCACTCACATAAATTGTATCAGGCACTGGACTAAGCCCTTCCACGCCCTGTGAGCAAATGGAGGCACAGAGGGGTGAAGGAACCTGCCAAGGTCACCAGTAGGTGGACCAGCAAGGACAGGGCCCAGGCTGCCTAGCCCCGTAGGCCACCTGTCCACCCATCTGCTCCCTCTCACTCAGGGGGCAGCTGGGTGGGTTTAGACAAGAGGCAAGAGGCAGGCAGCCCTTGACTGGCAGGCAGCTGAGCCAATCAGGAAGGACCCAGAGGCTACCTGGGCATTGCCTGGGGGAGAAGAAGGTGCCAGGAACTGGAACCGGGGTCGGGCAGCCCCAGCGCACGGTGGCCAAGATCCAGAATACAAAGTCTTTCTGCCCGGCACGTGCAGCGTTTCCACCTCACAGGCACAGCGGGGTGAAGAACATTCTCTACACTTGGCAGGAGATGGGTGGTTCTACAAAGGGCAGGAGGTCGGCTCAGCTCAGGCTGGGGATACGCCCAGAACACCCCATGACAGAGTGTGGGATCAACTTCGGGGAAACCACAACCACCACCAAACCCCAAGGGGGCCCCGAAGCTGGATTTGGGGGGCCTGGGGTTTTTCGGCTCTGCTCTCCCATGCTGAGCCTCCGCCTCAGCTGTGAGCTAGAGACAAGGTTGGCGGGGGGCAGGGTCAGCTAGCTGCAGCCTGTGGCCAAATCCTGCCCCCTGACTGTATTTTGTGAGCCAAGAGCAGACTGCACCTTTTCAAACCTTCTTCAACACGTGCACGTTACACGGAACTTAAATCTCTGCATCCACACACAAGGCTGTGCTGGCACACAGCCATGCGCTGGCCTAAAACAGCCACCGTCTGTCTGGCCCTTTACAGAAAAAGTTTGCCAGCGCCGGGCAGGGGATCAAAGGGTGCGAGGAGTTACCTGCTAGCGAGAGACACCAAGGGTCAGGATCTTGGGGGCGGGAGAAGCAGGGAGCGGGCGGCAGGATGGACTGCTACCCAGAGAGAAGACACGGGATCCCTGGACAGGACTCAAATGCTGGATCTGCCAATGTGTGGCCGCTGGGAAGGGGCTGCCTGGGCCTCACTCTCCTCCCCGGGGAGCGGGGCTCCTAATGGCACCCCCAGTCGGGAAGAGACAGTGAGGCCCCTGCCTGGCACCCTCAGGGCTCAGGGAGGCGGAGCTGGGGTCGCTGTCTCTACGCAGCAGTTGGCTCAGGACTTGCAGAAGCAACAAGGGGTGAGCATTTTATTGACAGATGAAATTAAGCAAAAAGAATGTCCCCCGCCCTTTTGTTATGACAGAAGGGTCTGTTTGCCGTTGTGTTGAGCGTATCTTGCTCTGTAAACCTATTTTGTCCTTCCTCAATAAACTTCGGTTCATGCTTGCGAAAAAAAAAAAAAAGAATGTCCCCCAATGTTATGCTTTCTTGTGTATACTTTTTGTAAACATTGGAAGGTCTGCCCAAGCCTTCCTGTGTTGAAAAAACTAACACCACAGGGAACGGTATGCAAGTACATCTTATGGGAAAATTCCAGAACAGTCACGGAGAGCCGTAAGGAACGGCAGGACAGAGGTGCTGATTTAAAGTTATACTTTATAGCAAGTAAACTGACCATTTCTAAGCAACTACAACTTAAATTGACCAAATATATCATTTTATGCCAAATCCACTTATACAGTGAAATTATTATACTAATATTTTGCCAACTTTTCTCATCCTTTAATACCTAGCTTAGATATCCCCTCCTCTAGGAAACCTCCTATTCCAGCCAGCCTTGTCACCATTGCCATCCCCTGACTCCCAGGACACATGCTGGTGAGGGGCACTTCCTCTCCACTTCCTGCCAGTAGCACTGGCTCGGCTTTTGACTGCCTGGGTTTGAAAGCGGTTGTATCACCTCCTAGCTGTGTGACTTTGGACAAATGAATTAACCTCTCTGAGCCTCACTTTACTCACGTAGGAAATGAGAAGCTAAACCTATTTTGCAGATTTGCCTAGACATTAAACTAGATAACGTGGGTAAAATGCCTGGCACGTGGTCGGCTGTCCATACATGGCAGTTACTATAACTCATCACGTTATGCAGTAATGCTCTACTGACTTGTCCATCTCCCCGGTGGAC